TTATAGCCTCATTATCTCTTCCATTATTTATTATCTCTGTGACCTTGGGTATGAATTTAAACTCTGAATCTGTGTCTTTATCTGTAATATAGAATACTAACGTCAGTCTCTTGAGAGTGTTATGATCATTAATACCTGGCATATTTAGTAAACGTGGTGGTGGTTCTCCATTCTGATACACCATTAGAAAATAAGGTAGTTTATCATGCTAACTGACTTTGTTCATAATATTGTGGTAGATACTTAGCTCAATCTTCTTGGTTTCTCCCTTTTTAGAGACGATGAAGAGAAAAAAAAATCTCCCTCAGAAGGTACCGATGAGAAGGCTAATGGAACACATCCAAAGACCATCAGCCGTATTGGGAGTACTACCAATCCATTCTTGGACATTCCTCATGACCCAAATGCTACTGTGTATAAAAGTGGGTTCTTGGCTCGGAAAATCCATGCAGACATGGATGGAAAGAAGAGTAAGGATCTTTTTTTTTGCATTTTCTATTTTATTTCATCTTTAGACTCAAAATCTAAAGTGAATTTATCTTAAGTAAAGTCAAGGATGAAGAAAAATGATGTAAATGTTTAGTTGGAGAAGTATTCTAAAGTTTGGTAAAGTCTCTAACCAGAGTGGGATTACCCAGTAAGCAAGGTATGCTCAGGTTTACTTGTGCATCTTTACTAATCTGTGGTGAATCATTTCACCTCTTTTTCACCATGTCAAAGATGTGGTGAAACCATGTGAAATTGTTTGCTACAGATTAGTAAGTCAACACAGTAAGCCATTCATACCTTGCTTAATGTAAACCAGTGTGTACCTTGCTTACTGAGTATTCCTCCTCTGCCTCTAACTCTAAATTATAAATCCGTTGTGGCACCTGATCTTCCTCCAATAGGATTACAGAATTTTAGAAAAAGAAGACATGTTACAGATTACTTAGTTACCAGCCTTTTCTTCATTTATTTATTCATTCTTTCAAAAATAATATAGGGCTCCTATTATGTGCTAGAGGAGCCCTGGTGGCATAGTAGTTATGAGCTCCTTTGCTAACCAAAAAGTCAGTGGTTCAAATCCACCAGCTGCTCCTTGGAAACCCTATGGGGCAGTTCTGCTCTGTCCTATAGGGTCACTATGAGTTGGAACAACTTGATGGCACATAACAACAATTATGTGCTGGGAACGAAAAATATAACAGTGAATAAGATGGACAAGGTTCCTGTCTCTGTGGAATTTACATTGCTGGTAAGTGGTGTACTAAAGATAGAATAATAAATAGTGTAATATTCCAGAGACATTGAGGGTGGGGAGAAACAGATCCAAAGCACATGTGAAAGGACTGGACTTTGGTAGGAAGATGGAC